TCTGCTTGGCCTTTCTTAAGGAAAGGGCAATCCTATTTATGCTAAAGGAGTGTAGTTCTCTCATTTTCCAAGACTTTCCATGACTTACCAGGCTTGGTAACTGTAGTCGACGTAAGAGAATCCCATAGAACCATCTCTTAGGTTCGTAGCCTATAGGAAGTAAAAGGAGGTCCAAGGTCAGAGTACCCCTATAGACAAATTATGTCATAGACAAATTATGTCATAACTTAACCAATCTTGTGGGTAACTAAGGAGCGATGACGTGTAATGAATCATAGAGGGTTGTAGAAGCTTTTGGAGTTATCGTTCATGTTACTAGGCCTCTAGTTGATAGAGATATGTCATGTGTAGTATTAGCCCAGTAACTAAGGAGTGATGTCATGTAATGAATCATAGAGGGTTGTAGAGATATGCTATGTGGTCATATCGGCCCAGTAACTAAGGAGCAATGATGTGTAATAAATCATTGAGTGTTGTAGCAATCGTTGAGTAGTATTGGTCTTGTTGTTGGTGTGACAAGCCAAAATATGTATAGTGACTTGTAGGTTTGAGGAGGAGATTTCTAAGTTTGCTCTTGAGTTTGATAGCAAACTGAGTGCAACGAATGTCAGTATGACATAGCTCAGCTTCTTACTTTATCGATGTGAGACTTTAGAATCAATTCTTTGTAGTCTAAAACACGAATCTCCCTAAGCGTCGCTAGGCTCATAACCTATTGTAGGAAGGACCAAAATATTACAACCCTATGTAAATTGTGTGGTGTGTCTAGTGACTGACCTTCGGGCTTTTGCACAACAGGCAGGAAAACTCAACAGTAGACTACAGTATATAGAATGAATTGAATTACTACACTACCTGCAGAGCCTACGTATTATTTATGTCGTTTAGAGGGCCTACTTAAACGCCCTAAGTAACAGAAGAGTTTGGGCCTAAAACCTAATGCGTTAGAGTTCTGAGGCAATCTGCTCATGCTAAGCGCCAATTAGGGAGCCTGACGATTACACAAAGGAAAGCTGCCATTCTCTTTCCCTTAACAGCTACGGCCTAGCACTAGTAGCCTCGTGACTTATGAGTTATGTTACTAGAGCCTAGCCCTGCTAGTGTTAGAACTGTGTTCCTAGTAGTACGCTACACATGCGTAGCCTATATACCAATTGTGGATATATAGGGGCTTTGCCCCCAATAGTTTCTCAATCAAGTTGTTAAACTCTAAATATGTGCTTAACAGCTAGCCCCGTACCATGACATCAAGTTACTGTAGCCGTAACATTGTTCTGCACAATCTAGACTATGTAATCTTAAAGCTTGATGTTCGACTTCGTACACTAACGCCTACACTAACTCTACCTGTGATTTAGGAACCTAAAACTCCACATAATGTACTTAAGACACAATCTTAATCAACGTACGTTAAAGACCGAATTATGCAACATTAGAATAGTACTAACTTCGCTTTTACAAAGCATTAATTAGGTTGCGAAAGGTGTAGCAAATGCAATACACAAATTGACGTTATTACAAGGAGAAAACGCTACACTTCGTAAAGCAAATGACTTTAGTCGATGTCGTCGTACAAAGAAATGTCAATTATAAGAAGGAGGAGTACTACTGTCGAAGAGGCTTAAAGAGAGGCTAATATACAATTACAAGCTATTTGCAAGAAAGTCGAAGCAAACCGAGCTGCAAAAACGTTGTTGTAGATGTTGCGGACAAACTAGTCACAACATACGAACTTATCCAAATAAAGTAGATACATCTGATGATTTAAATGCCGAAGAGTTAGAATTGATGATTTAAATGCCGAGGAGTTAGAATAGTTCAATTAATTAATTGTACGATGCAAAACAATCGGCGGTGAGCTTGTGTAGGCGACTCACTTGTGAACTACATTAGTGATTATAAACTCTTATTTTTCTTATAGCTACTGTGCACTCTCCCTCACTGTAGTTTAGCAACGTCACTCTGTCGAACAGGATTACTAACGGGAGCTAACATAAAGATGAACAGCTCTGAGCGACTAAGGACCAGACCTATGATTTATTTATAGTGATTATAAAAAAGCCTCTATTTTATTTATAGCTACAGTGATATTTAAAACCAATCTCCCATTCTACGCATATTTCTAGCGGGACTTAGAAATATTGTCTTTGAAATCGATTTACAAAGCCCAAGGTCGTTTACTGTGCCATTACGCATTATGACCTACAAATGCAAGCATTTGCGCAACATCGCAGGTTTCTAGCGGGCCTTAGAAATATTGTCTTGAAAATCGATTTGTAGAGCCCAAGTCCATTCACTGTGCCATTGAGCATCACTGTCCCGCGAAAGATATTTTTTGTCTTGTCGCCGAGACTTCCACTACAGACGTCGATTGGGAATGTTCTCCCTGGAAGCTTGCCTGTGATGATCGGGTCTCCCAGTGAGATATAATATATACATAACAGGGTCTTGCCGAACGAGCTGCTGGATGATGCGTCATCACTGTCACTTCAATCACAATCACAAGCACAGAGTGTCACAGAGCAATTCAAAACTTGGAAGTAAACTTCATTCAACTAACAACATAGTCCATTCTCAACCCCCCACACCTCTCTACAAACGGCTCTCCTTCTGCAGCGCCGCATTCTTCTCCGTCACAGTCTTGATAGCATCGCCCAACGCCTTATCCACACGCGAAAACATCTCATAAGTGCGCTGCCTGGTATCCTCCCTCGCCGCAGACAAATGTCCCGAGACATTCCCAATAAAGTTAGCCTGCTGCCCCTCAGTGCGTCCAAGGACGTCCCACAGACCCTTAGCCTGCACGTAATCATCAGCCACAACCTCGTTGAGGTGCATGACAGCCTGCGCGGACCACTTCTGGTGGGGGTCGTTGGTGATGGGCGAGTGTTGCTTGTAGGTCAGTGTGCGGTAAGAAGATGGGTAGTTGGGGTTAGCGCCGTAGTTACCGTTGACCGCCATGGCGCCGTCGCGCTGGAAGGGGTTGAAAGCGCGGAGGGGCGCATTGACGGGGATCTGCTGGTAGTTGACACCGAGGCGGTGGCGGTGGGTGTCCGGGTATGAGAAGAGGCGGGATTGGAGGACGGGGTCGGCGGAGGGCTCGACGCCGGGGACGAGGTGGGAGGGGGAGAAGGCGACCTGCTCGATCTCGGCGAAGTAGTTCTCGGGGTTCTTGTTGAGGGTGAACTTGCCGAAGGGGCGGAGGGGGACGTCCTTCTGCGGCCAGACCTTGGTCAGGTCGAAGACGTTCCAGCGGAATTTCTCGGCCTGCTCGGGCGAGAGGACTTGCACGTAGACGGTCCAGCTGGGGTATTCGCCCTTCTCGATCGACTCGAAGAGGTCCTGGGTGTGCCAGTCTGGGTTCTCGCTGGCGAGCTTGCCGGCCTCCTCCTTGTTGAAGGTCTTGTTGCCTTGGTCGGTCTTGAGGTGGACCTGCACGTAGTTGAAGGTCCCGTCAGCCTTGTGCCACTTATGGGTGTGACCGGAGTAGCCATTCATGTGGCGGTAGGAGTATGGGGTGCCGCGGTCAGAGAAGAGGTGCATGACCTGGTGGATGGCCTCTTGGTGGGTGGAGAGGTAGTCCCAGAACATGGTGGCGTCCTTGAGGTTGGTCTGCGGGTTGCGCTTCTGGGTGTGGATGAAGAGAGGGAACTTTCCTGGGTCGCGCAGGAAGAAGATGGGTGTGTTGTTGTAGACCCAGTCCCAGTTGCCCTCCTCGGTGTAGAACTTGATGGAGAAGCCGCGTGGATCGCGGGCAGAATCTGCAGAGCCCTTCTCACCACCGACGGTCGAGAAACGGGTGACAGCCTTGGTCTTCTTGCCAACAGTCTTCAACATGTTGACGACGGTGATATCGGAAACTGGGAAGTAGGTCAGTTATTTGTCAAACTCATTTAAAGCCTGCATGCAACTTACTGTCATGTGTAACCTCGAACTCGCCATAGGCACCGGCACCCTTGGCGTGGACAACGCGCTCTGGGATACGCTCGCGGTCGAAGTGAGCGAGCTGGTCGATTAAGTGGAAGTCCTGGAGAAGGAGCGGGCCATTTGGACCTCCTGCTCTTTGGTAGGCCTCGGCATGGTGAACTGGAGCACCGTTGGATGTGGTATAGGTAGGCTGTTGGTCGTACTTGAAGGTGGAGGCGGGCGACTCGTCAGAACCCATGGTTGCTGTGGTTGTTGCTGTGAAGCGGATATATGAGAGTAGGTTATAGCTTCTTATACAGGCCTGAGGTCCAGTGAATAATAGACTTATTCAGATATGAGAGAAGAGACGAATAAACGGTGAGAGAGATGATTATTCTAGGTCAAACAGAGATGGGAGAGGGGGAAAAGAGAAAGGAGACGGTGAACGACGCAACTGTCTATATATACTCGTATATGGGAAGGATGGCGGAACTCGAGCGGTACGTAATTGAGTGTACCTACACTCATACTGGTGGTATGGGGGGGGGGGGCGGGGCTAGGTCCCAGGGCGGGGTACCACAGTGGCCCACCAATCAGAGCCGTCGATTTGCAAGCAACCCTCCGTTACCGTCTCGGACTTTGGCCAGGGACTTTAGCCAATGTAGCCAAGAAGGAAGAAGGCCTTAAGGCCACAAGGCCACCACATCTGCCCCCTCCATAAGCCCGTTCGGGACGTTCAGACGTTCAGACACACCTCTTACAAGTTCTAAGAGTACTATGATTGGTTGGTTTCTTTATGTTCCTCGGTCCTTGGCTGTTATAGTATTCAAAGATGCATCCAGTAACCAGAGCTGTATGTTAGTGCGAGTCGTACTCGACAGAATATTAACCCGTACAGTAGTCAGTTGTCCCTATATCCCTTCTGCCAAAGATATACCAGCTACCAGTCAGTACTAAACGTATGGAGTACGTAACTTAGAGTAGTATCCCTATACTGGTATGAGGGTAGAGACACGACCTCAGTCCGTCCTGTTCTAGCCTACAGCTCTTACCAAAGCAAGTTATATTAACTTACCTGTTAAGGAAAGAGACCCCCCGCACGTACGTTATTCCCGCCGGCCGGATGACGCCAGACTCCGCCTTTATCAAGCAATCCAGCAACTGTGCACTAACGGTGTCCCGCCTATCAAGCAATCCAGCAACCGAGAGCTTTATGTAATTAATAGAAGCTGCGCTGAGTAATATGGGCTTATTCTAGAATAGGGGATTTGGCGCAGATTCCGGATTTTATAGCCCGTTTTGCGCAAATATACGCCAGCGTTACTAGTAACGCTGGTTTGGTTCGGCTCAGGTTTCCCTTTTTATAGCCCATCCTGCACAAATTGCTAATGGTAACGAACGGTTCACAGTAACGTTCGACAGTAACGCAAATCCCCGTTTTTATAGCCCATCCTGTGCATATTGCCAACAGTAACGCTTCACAGTAACGCTGGCAGTAACGCTCGCAGCTTCCGTATTTATAGTCCCTCCTACGCATATTGCTAGCGCTACTAGTAACGCTAGCATTGAGCGCAGATTCTCACTTTTATAGGCTACACCATCATATATGGTCTCACAAGATCAGTGGCTGCATCATTGGCTAATAAATGGTTCCATGCGGCATCCAGCAGCGTCCGGACAGTAGTATACATCTCTCCAGCATCCACCCTACTGGTCCACCCACTGCGGCTTCGCCTTCTCCGCAAACGCCTTCATCCCGATCTTCTGATCCTCACTGCCGAACAGGCTGTGAAACACACGCCTCTCGTAGTCAATACCATCCCTCAGCGTCAAATCCTGGCTCTTGTTCACCACCTCCTTAGCCGCCTGCACAGCCACCTTGCTGTACCCAGCAATCGTCTCGGCCGTGTCCAGCGCCGCCGTGATGAGCGCCTCGTAGTCCTTGAAGCTCCTCGCCGCCACGCCCCACTTCTCAGCCTCCACCCCGCTGAAGCTCTTTCCAGTGAGGATCAGCTCCATAGCCCTCGCCTTGCCCACCGCAGCAGTGAGGCGCTGGCTACCGCCGGCTCCAGGAATCGTGCCGAGCTTGATTTCGGGTTGTCCGAAGTTCGCGGTCTCAGTGCAGTAGAGGATATCTCCCATGAGAGCGAGCTCGCAGCCGCCGCCGAGGGCGTGGCCGGAGACGGCGGTGATGAGGGGCTTGGTGAGGAAGGTGGTCAGGTCGGACCAGGACTCGATGAACTTCTCGGTGTAGGCTTTGGAGAAGGTGAGGGGGGCCATCTCTTTGATGTCTGCGCCGGCGGCGAAGGCGCGCTCGGAGCCGGTGAGGACGATGGCGCGGACGGAGGGGGAGGCTTGGAACTCGCGCAGGGCGTGGTTGAGTTCGGTTATGATGGGGGTGGAGAGGGCATTGAGTGCCTTGGGGCGGTTGAGGGTAACTGCGCTGGGGTGTCAGTTATATTTGGTTTTTCAGGTAGCTAATGTCTGCATCATGGAGTCCATCTGATTGAATTGAAAAGCTTACTTTGTGCAACGCCCGGGCGTGGCTCAGATGTGAGGATAAGCTCATACTGCTGTTTCGCTGATGCTGAGAAAGGACGTGTTACTCTTGGCAGCGACGACGGTCTGAATTGGGAGACTCTGGGCCTCATACATTTGACAGTATTCATCATGATAGCAACTTTATATCTGACAACCTGGCAAAATAATGTATAAATGAGCACTCTCGTGGAGAAAGTTGGAGTTTTGGAAGCTGTCTTAGCTTCTTCCCCACCCGAGGATAGACGGGCCCCCCACGTCATGAGTACCCTTGTCAGCCATCTTGAGCCGAAAACACGTGCTAATAACCATAAGCTACTGTGATTCTGGCCCTAAGAATCAGGCAGATGAGGCACCAACATCCTGAAACCCGTCCTGTACATCGATGGTGTATCTCGCCTCATATTTTTATATGTGATCGATACATGAGTTTATGCTGTTGTGCACAAATTCCGGGGTCCCATGCTCGATCCACTCAACAAAACTTTTGAACATTACTCCGTACTGTACCTCCGTATTATAGTAGTTTTGTACGGGTAGCTTACGGGCCACGGCATAAGTAAAGGCCGTAGCCCCATAGAATTCTACAAGTTTGGTTCGTGCTCGGAAATCACACTACGTACACTGTACAGCCTGGCCAAGCCACGTGACTGAGAATGTGCCAAGAATAGCGTAGCAAGTTCGCTACACGCCGCGTTGTCCTGTCCGGATCTGGGCGAGGGCAAGTGAATAATTTTGATCGAGTCTCTTCTTGCGCCAACCACATTCACTTGACGACCACGACGATTGAGCGCCCGCGATACCTGCAGACTTTTAAGACTTTTAATAAACGATTGTTAGCCAGAATACGATACTCGAGATGGATTCGATGGAGCCGCAGCAGACCCCTTTTTGGGCAGTGTCGAAGCAGACGTCACGGCTCCAGCGCGTATGTGATCGCTGAATGAAAGACTGTGGTGTCGGAGCTGACACTTTTTGTTTTAGATATATCAAACATACCTCGACAAATCGACCCCATTTACGGCGTACAGATGGCTTGGGACAGGATCTCTCCTCGTCATCTTCTTCCTCAGGATATTCCTCGAGCAAGGATGGTACATTGGTTCGTCGCATACATACTATGATATCTACTTGGCCACGAGCTAACTCTCTATATAGTTGCGTACTCTCTAGGAATCTACCTCCTCAACCTCTTCCTCGCCTTCCTCCAGCCCAAATTCGACCCAGCGAACGAGGCCATAGACAATGAGATGGAGGACGGAGAGGCAGGTGGCCTACCGACCAAGCAAGGAGACGAGTTCAAGCCATTCATCAGACGGCTGCCCGAGTTCAAGTTCTGGCACTCCGCCACCAGGGCTATCGCCATTGGCTTCTTCTGCACCTGGTTCTCGATCTTCGACGTGCCAGTGTTCTGGCCAGTGTTGGTGATCTACTGGTTCATTCTATTCACATTGACGAGTATGTCTTCACAGAAACCCCATGTTCGAGTGGAATGCTAACGGTGAGCAAATAGTGAGGAGACAGATCCAGCATATGGTCAAGTATCGCTATGTGCCATTCTCGTTCGGCAAGGCCAAGTACAGCAAGAACAGCTCTTAGATCATCATGGAAGCGGTTGGTGGATGGTCTCTGCACGGATCGACAAGAGTTATGAGCTTCGCTGCTCGTGTATCATGTATTGGGGGACTTGGTTGGAGTGGACGGTCGGACAGAGGACGTTTGTGTTGAACGGTATTACCGTTAATGACAGTTTACATTGACTTTATGGGTCAGATAGGGTTGGAGAACTGGCATAGAAGGCATGGGATTGTTCCAGCCGGTAGAGTGTTATTATTAATGGGATTAATGAAAAAGTCAAACTCACGTACTTGTGCCGCCCAAATTCTACAGAGGGACAACCCTCTACGTATGAACGGCTAGCTTATTGATTGCAGCCCGAAGTGATTGAATGCCTTTTCTTAATGATAGTTAGTTGCTATAGTCGCCGTGGTTTTGCATATAGTCCCTCGTTGGACTTTTCGGCGGCGCGAGTGAATGGGCTACACAGTCGAATTAGATGTTGTAGTGTCCGTCGTCGTTCTTTGTGGTCCCTTTCCAGCCTTGCCAACCACAACCAACGCTAACCTAATTGGCACCGATTCGACCAGAGCGCCTCAAATTACTTCCACCTCAGCCTTGACTGAACCAGAGCAAGAACCGACAACACGACAATCGCTCCATCAATATCGCTGTGATGGCTACCTCAAGTTCGCGCGGGACAGATAGGTCAATTCATCAGGATTACATTGCACGCATACGATACTCAAACACCCTTCCACCTCCACCAAATCCCCCCAAGCTTCTCGAGATCCCAAATACGGGTCTATCAAGTGGACAATACACAACTCCCGGTTTCGCGTCGAGGTTGGCTCGGGAGCAGCCCTTGAATGTAGAGGCAGATGCTGAGCTTGGGATGCATATCGACCTGGTGGGAATGCCAGGAGTCTTCGACGGCGACGAGAGTTGTAAGTGCGCCCAATTCGTAGGATCCAGACTTCTTGGCTAACCGCATCGAAACAGCCATCCAAGCAGCCGTCCACGCGCCTGCACCGCACCCACACGATCGCGCGCTTCTTCGGCCCCTGAATTCGATAGGGAAGCCAAAGGTTGTAGACTCGGGCTCGTCCTTCCTCCGCCGCACGGAGTATATCTCCAGCACGAAAGGGCGTATGGACGACCATACGCCACAGAAGTCAGTTGTCAAGCGCGCGAAACCAGCCGGCAGATTTCAACCGCTTCCCAAAGACTTGGACAAGGAGTCGCCAGAGTACATCCTCGCAGCTGTCCAGCGCTCTTTCGAAATTGCGGCAGCCAACGTCGCGAACCCTCTACGTCTTCGTCACCCTTCGAAGCGCAATGTCAAGCTCGTCTCGTCGCATCCTATGGTCCCAGACCTCGATGCTTTCAACGACGCCGGTGGATATATCACCATCAAATTCCAGAACAACCCCGTCCCACCATCCACCACCTACGACACACGTCTCGAATCAGGCATGCTCCGACCCTTCGTCAGCTCCGCGGCCGCAACCGCCGTGCACGAAAAGGCAGTCGCAGCTCACGAGCATGACCCCAGCCGTAACCCGCACCCCGGCCCGAACCAAGACTACGAGTTTTTCCTGCCAGAGACCACTGTGGACGCCGTGAAATTCAAGCGCAAGTCTGATGTGTACGACGCCGACGCCAAGAACGACGACGGCCTGTACACCTACACCAACCAGTCCGGCGACAAGTGCTTCCGCTTCAAGCGCATTCGTGCGTACGAGACCAGCGAGGAGGTGCAGATCCAGGGCGTGGATCGCTGGAACTCAGAGGTGGTTATCGCGGTCAACGATGGCAACGATGGTGTGCACCAGCGCGCGGCATATATGTACCCGCTGGTTCTGCGCACAAAGATCCGCCCGCAGCGGAGCAAGAATATTGATCGCCAACGGTTTGGTGGCGAGGGGGAGGAAGAAGATACGGTGGATTTCTTGGATGTGATGGTTAGGGAGCCGGATGAGGGCGAGGTCGCTTCCAGGAAGAAGTGGGCTGAGTTCCCGAACGGAGATGGGGAGGAGAGCGAGGAAGAGGTTGTGGAGGACGTGAAGGCTGTGAATGGAAATGGGAATGGGGGTGCGTCTCATAATGAGCATGAGGTAGATGAGGATGCGGAGGCGGAAAGCGAATAGTTGGTGGGATAATTTGGTCCTCTATTTCGGACTATTCTTGTGATACTACAGAAGAGTGAGAGCATAGCATTAGGCGTCAGGTCGAAAACAAATAGGAATGCAAATAGGAATGATATAAAGGCGAAAAGGCAAAAAATATACTCTATTTTCAACACGTATCTCTATTTTCAACACGTATCTCTATTTTCAACACGTATCAAAGATACGCGTGCCTCCCAAAAGTGTGAAGTGGTACTCTCGGCGGCACACATGAAATATCCGATCTAAACGTAGATTATTATTATTTCGTCATCTGATTCAAACAGTAGCTGTTGCTACTTGAGCGCAGTGTGGTATATATATGCCCATGCCCCTGTAATAGCCCTCATCTATCCTTTCATCATACATTTCCACCCCCCCACCAACGCCTCGCCCATCCTACCCCATCACGACTCCGCCTGCACAGTCTGAACCAACCAATCCATGCCCTCGCTGACACCGCTCCCATCCACAGCACTGCACGCCACAATACTCCAGTTGCGGTCCCTCAGCTCGCCCAGCTTCAGCGCCTCGCTGATATCCCCCGCGCCCTTCGCACCCGGCTGGTCCTGCTTATTCGCAAACACGAGCAGCGCCGCGTCCTTGAGCTCGTCCTCGTTCAGCATCGCGGCGAGCTCCTCGGCTGCCGTGCCCAGTCGCTCGATGTCCGTGCTGTCGATGACGAAGATGACCGCCGCTGTGTTGGCGTAGTAGCAGCGCCAGTACGGCCGGATCGAGGTCTGTCCGCCCAGATCCCACACGTTGAAATTTAGATTCTTGTAGGTCACTGACTCGACGTTGAAGCCAATTGTGGGGATTGTTGTTACGACTTCGCCGATCTTGAGACGGTAGAGGAGTGTTGTTTTGCCGGCGTTGTCCTGCGCGAGCATGTGTTAGTCGTTGAGGGGTCAGGGGTGGGAGATGCGGAAGCGCGGAGTTGAGGGGGTTTAGGGGTAGCGTACAAGACCAAGGATTAAGATTCTGATTTCTTTCTTTGAGAAGAGGAGGCCGGAAAACCATGACATTGAGTTCCCCATCTTGTTCGTCCCCGTGCCTGGTCCCCTTTTAAGCCGACGTAGCCTGTTTCCTGCGCTGTTTTTCGAGGTGCGATCGCGTCGGCTCTGTTGAAAAGCTGGTGAAGACCTACATTACTAACAAGGTCGTCAGGCACCAAGGCATGCCGCTTGTATGGATCGGGAATGGCCCCAAATACGCCCGACACAGGGCGCTAGGCGCGTATCCCACCAGCGCGCTTAAGTGCCAAAGTGGACGACAATGATGGCGAGAGGACAGGGTCGTCGAATAAAGAACTAGAAGGTGAATTGGACGTGACGAAACATATTCTATATCCTATCATTCATAATTTAGCCGTCGCGTCTCTTTTTTATCGCCAACAGCCTCGTACAGCAGCATCCTGAGATAAAAGCATACTGTAATAAAACGCTTCACCAAAGACACGATACCACGGATTTAGGTCTGAGCCTATTGTCAGGCCAATTCACTTTGGGGCTCATCAGCACAGTCGCACATTATGGTGGGAAAGAAATCAGCCAAGGCCCTTCAGGTCGAAGAAGGTATGCATATGTGCTCACGGACACGGTCACGGGACAGGGCCATACTGACGCGCTGCAGGCCTTGAAAGGACGGACAATGGCATGAAACTAACAAGTTTCCCTGAGGTCTCACAAATAAACCAAAAGAATTATTATACGTAAGTGAAAGACATTCGTCAGCTTCCATATTTACGCTTTATACCATAATTGGCTGGGCTGGCTCGGGGGAACCGTGGACTAAACGTCCACGGTTCCCCCGAGTCAGCCCAGCCAATATAGAGACATCCGTAACCCTTTTACCACGCGGGCTTATCCGATATCAATCCATGTTTTTCTCTTACTGATAAATATTCCAGGGAGTATATGAAGCGAGATGACCAGATTCTCCCCCTGCGCCTTCAAGCTGAGGCGAGTAGGGACAAGATGATCCGTACTGCCAAAGACAAGGATAGGGCTTTGGCGAGGACGGGTGACACAGACGTCCCCAATCCCAATCCTGATGAAACCGAGTTTGGTGAGGAGGATACCAGTACAGGGGCGGACGGATTTGACGCGTCGAAGATCATTGCCATCCATCTCGGAAGCCAGAATATGCGTATCGGTCTTGCCAGCGACGCACTACCGAGGACTGTGCCGATGTGTACCGCGTGGAAGATGCCAAAATGTGAATCGGACATCAAGCCGCCTTTGCCGAAACGACAGAAAATGACAGGCACTCCTGAAGACCAGCTTGGTGACGAGTGGGCGAAGAAGTATACGAAAATGTGCGACGATCTAAAGAAAGATATGCGGACAAATAAGCGCAAGGTCCTTCCCAACTCCAAGGAACTGGTGGTCAACTACAACAGGCGGACCCCTTCAGAGAAAATCCCCGAGCACAATGACCCCGCAAGGATAGAATGGACGGATATTGGCCTATCTAGTACATTTAACGGACTTGAGGCACAAAGGATTCCGGACAATTCAGATCCCTCATATCGTCTTTTTTGGCCAATCCAGCACGGAAGGCTGAATGAAGAAGATTTCCCGAGCAAGGAACAGTTGAAGATGGCTATTGATTCCATTATCACTGGGGCGTTAAAGACGGAACTGAAGATTACGAAGACTGGGCAATGGAAGGACTACAGTTGCGTCCTCGTAATTCCAGATCTGTACGATAAGAAATTTGTCGAGATGATGCTCGAGATGTTCATGAACGATTATTCCTTCGCAAAAGTGGCCTTCATCCAGGAGTCTCTCGCCGCAAGCTTCGGAGCTGGATACACTTCGGCGTGCATCGTTGACATTGGCGCACAAAAAACTTCCATCTGCTGCGTCGAAGATGGTCTCTGTATCGAAGACTCCCGCATCAACTTGAAGTACGGCGGCTACGATGTGACCGAGACATTCGTCAAGATGATGCTCTTCGACCATTTTCCCTATTCGGATATCAACCTTGTACGACGCTACGACTTCCTCCTCGCCGAGGAGCTAAAGATCAAATTCTGCACCATGAACCAAGCCGAAATCTCCGTCCAGTTGTACAACTTCCATCTTCGTGCTCCGTCCGAGTACACCCGCAAGTACAACTTTAAGACGTACGACGAAGTAATCCTCGCGCCAATGGGCTTCTGCGACCCATCAATATTCGATAACTCGGCGAAGCTAAACGGTCGCCGCAAGCTCATCGACCGCTCCTATAACATCTACGACCCTGAAATCCCCGACGATCCCGTCTCGGCCGCACAGATTTCTATCCTCGCAGCCATCAAGCCCTCCGCCGCAGCTGGCCCCAAGGCCCTAGCTAGCGCTGCCACTAACGGAGACGGGACGGCCGCTGTTTCGACCCCAATGAAAGAGAAGCCCAACCCCTTCAGCTTCCTCGGCGTCGACGCACATGGAACGCCCGGGACTTCGCACGCCGGCTCCCCTGCCCCAGAGGGCTCGAATACACCCGCCGCGAACGGTGGCAGCCCGGCTCCTTTCCAGTTTGGCGGTAGTGGTAGTGGCGCTCCTCAAGGCATATTCGTGCTCGACCCAGCGCATTGCTCGCAACGTGCTCTCGCTGCCGAGCGTGACTCTGTTCTCCCGATCGCGCCACTGGACACGGCTATTCTGACATCGATCACAACGGCAGCAAGAGGCGATGAGAAGAAGCTGCGCGACTTGCTTGGCGGTATCATGATGATCGGAGGCGGGGCAAAGACGCCTGGGTTTGGGCCATTCCTCGAGGAGCGGTTGAAGAGGTTGCGGCCGGATCTTGGGGATAGGATACTGGTTGGGACGAGCCCCAGGGAAATGGACGGGCAGGTTGTGACTTGGAAGGGAGCGAGCGTTTTCGCGAAGCTGGTAGGGACGAATGATACGTGGATTGGAGGAACGGAATGGGAAAGGTTGGGAAGCAGAGTTTTGCATCACAAGTTGGCGTTTTATTACTAAAATTTGCAAAAGTGGGTAGCACAATTTAGAAGGAAAGGCGTAATGTATCATAAATGACATCGTGTGTTTTTTTATACGTGCCTGGAGAGAATGACTTCATTTGAAAGAACGCAGAAACGTGAAGTTATGCGCAGGTAGGAAACATGAACCTGGCCTTATGCCTCAGCAAAAAACACAAAACTCCATAACTTCTCAATGCACTGATACTTCTCAAAAAAATGACACAACTGGGTATAATGCCTGAAAAAAGACGCCAACCCATGTAGACCCTTGGCAGACTTCCCCAAACCGCTCACGCAGATGCTCAAATCGTAATTCCTCCCAATGCACTCAGTACTCGTCAATTGGCGACCATGGCTCAGCAGGCTTCAAGGACATATAATACTCGAATTCCCACTCGTCATCGTCCTTCTCTGGAAGATAGGGCTTCCACTCATCGTCCACGTCCACGTATTCGTTGGCGTTTTCTTGCTGGGAAAGTGGCTTTGTCTTGCTGCTGGTCGCACCGAAGGGGATATCGGCACAGCCGTCTTCGCCAGCCAGGCCAGCTTTCTGTCGGTGAGCGAGTGCTTTCTTCTTGTAGTACGCCTGACGAAATGCTCTCTTGGCCCTCTCTTCTTCGTCATCGTTGTCAACTAGCAAGGCGCGTGCTTTCTTGTACTCAATATCAAGGGCTTTCTTGTAGTCCTCCCGGTCCAGAGTTGTAGTAAAATCGTCCTCAGGGGCAGAAGGGGCCAAATGGCGGTCATCTTCGTCCTCGCCGTCATCGGATCCAAGGGCGGTATATGCTTCGTGCGATCTGGCGTCTTTGCCACCTTTGTCGCCGAGGCGGAGGCGATCCAGGAATGAGTCCAGGTCGGTACTCTTGTTGGATTCCCCCCGCTTGGGGAGGTCGGGGTTCTCGTGGTATAACTCGGGATCGCTGGCCTTGCGCAAGTTCACTGGTTTAGTTAGTTATTGTTGCATCCCCGTGCTCCGATATTTGCAAAACATGAGATCGAACGCCAAGATTGAAAATGAACAGTAACAACTGAAGATCGGGGCATTGGAATATAATATGTACATGCAAGATCGTGGCGGCCAAACTTTCAAAGTTAAAACGCGCAGGTTAGAAACTCAAGGTAATAATATGAAGATCAAGGTGTATGGACAAGAATACGAATGTCAGGGCGCCAAAATTTGAACGGGCAGGTCAACAACTGTATATTAAAACATGATAGATATATAAGTAAGAATATGAAGATCAAAGCCTCAAAATGGAAACACGCAAACCAAAACTTGAAGCTCAAAAAATGAAGATTCACAACTCACCGCCCAGAAACGCCTTCTTGGCGTTCATCATCAGCACACCAACCACCCCGTCTCTGTCCCTTGTGCCCACTTCTCCGCCTCCCATAACCTCCAGATGGAGGCCTGCCTTCTTCGCCTCGACACCGTGCTCGTCAGAAGGTGTCATCTTGCTCTCGCGAGCAGAGTGTCCAACCCAGACACCTTCAGCCACAGAGATTCGTGGCGAACTGACGGTTTTGGGTGCCGGGCAAAGAGGCAAACCAAGATCCAGGCTTGAAACCGACGAAGAAGTGAGCACAAAGATCAAAGGCAGGATGGTTGGTGTGGCTGGTCTCGGCTTTGCTTCCGACAGTTCGTCGGAGTCGGCTTTGGTGGGGGGTGGTGTAAGTTTGGATTGCCTGTCGAGAGTGGTGTTGTAAGAAACTCTGTCTCGCAAAAAGCAGTTGTTGAAGACCTACCGCTTGTTTGAGATACCTCGGGGGCCTGAGGATGCTTCTCCAGTGTCCTTGAGGAGAGAGGCGTAACTCTCCGCGTCAGAGGCCTTGCGAGCACCGAAGCGAGACAGAACTGGACAAAGCGGTTAATGGTGTCGATAACCGGAAGACCAAAGACAGCACAAGAGTGGCCAACTCAGGTTTGGGCACGGTAAGTTTTCCAAGATCGGCTTGCAGAATATGAAGCCCTTTCACGAAAAACGTGCGGAGAGTGAACCACTGGGTTCAGCTGCCCCAGAAACGCTGTGGGCAGACAGTGAAAGGATGAGGTCTGTACGACCCTTTCTTTCTTTGAATAACCCATAAAAAGCTTTTAAAGTATAGAAAGTAGGATACTTACAAGAAAGGGGAGCCATGATTGTATAAATGGTTGTTGTATCAGCGAATTCAGTCACGTGCGCAGTCACGTGTGTCAAAATCATCAAGGCGGACAGAAATATGAAGCATACGGGAATTGGTTTTGGAAAAGTTACCATAGCACTAGCTAGGTGTCCACGTGATAAACAATTATTCCTTCATCCTTCCCTCGCGCAGCGTAGGAACTACGCGGCACCCTGGTTACCCCTCCTCCTATTCTCCCTCTGCCTCACCTCCTTCTTCACCTCCTTTTGCCTCTTCTTCCACGCCCGATTTGTCTCGCCCCTATTTTCATAGAACCACTTCTGAAAGTCCTGGTTTGGATCTGTCTCTTCTTGCGCACTTGGATCCACTTCCCCTGATCCTCCAGCTTTCCTCGTAGGGCTGTCTGATGTATTAAAGTCTCCCTCGTCCTCTTCCTCGGCAGGCCAACTGAAGTGCTTCCTCATAGGGTGTGCTGTATCCGGCGTCGGTGCAGCACTGCGCTGTCCTCTCGATGAGAATTCTTGTGTGGTAAATGGTGTCATAGGAGCAACAAAGTCGTCCACTTCGTCATCCTCGTCGACATCGGAGTTATTGCCGTCTCCGAAAAATGTGAATGACGAGCTAGCTGGCGCTTCAGAAGCGTTTGCGCCCTGGTCGCGACGCCCGTAGAGTGCTTCAAGTGGGTGGATGGAAGCGGTTTCCTTGGATTTTAGCCCTGGTGGTGGCGGGATTGATATTGTGAGCCCATGAGATTGCGGTATTGAAGGGGCGGCTGGTTTGGCGGGTTGGTCTGGCGCGTTTGAAGATTGTGCTTCAGCTTCATTTTCGGATTCCGGCTCTGAGGCATCATTTTCCTCATCTTCGGAAGAGGAGCCAGAGCTGGAAGTATCGGAAACTTCTGCCACGGCATCTTGCATGCTGGTGTCTGCGTCCTCCTCGGCACTCCCTTCCTCGGACTCCGACTTTTCCACAGGCTTGGCACGCGGCAACCTGACCTTGTTCTCCTTCGCAATCTTTTTTAACACATCATCGTTATGATTTGACTTCTTTGACTCTCCCTCTACCACTTCTCCATTCTCATCCACCCAACCCTTCCCTTCGACAAACTCCACAGCTACTTTCACATTCCCTCCTGCGCTCTTCTGCCTCAAAAACGTTGCAAACTTTTCCGTCTTGGCAAACTCATGAAGAGTTACGTCTTTCTCAGCATTTCTTTTTCTCCTCTCTTTATCCACCACCACTCCCTCGATTCCCTTTGCAGGCAAGGCCGCTGCAATGGTCGGTGGTAGCGTTGTTCGGAAAAGGCACTCTGCTTCAGTCGTGTATTTGCTCTTTTCCCTCTCTTTCTTCTTATCCTTGCCCTCCTTCATCCTATTCTCTTTCGCCGCCTTCTTAGTGGCCTTCGGATCCGTCCAGCCGCGTTTGATCTGTCGGTCCAGCACCTCGGCGCCCTTCATGGGTTCCTCATGTCGCTTCCTCTTCTTGCTAGATTTCTCCTTCTTTTTCCTTCCTTCTTCCTGCGCGCCCTTCCCTCCATCAATCACCTCCCCCCAGGCCTTCTCACCTCTTGCCTCTTCAATTGCAATCTTCTTCCCACGAAGCAAAGCTCCCATCAACTTCCTCTTTATCTTCCCCGCTTCCTCCGTGGGCAAATCCACAAATCCATACTCCTTTTCCGGGAACGCCTGCAGGGTATGGAAAGAGATGTTCCGTGCCTTCGGTGCCAGTGATGGCGGCACAATTGCCGCCATTAGCGAGGCATTGAACGGCGTAATGTGAAGGCGTGAGTATCCTTCGTCCACGCCCGCCTCTGGGCCGGCCTTCTTATCGCTGATGGGCGCCATGTTTTGGTTGGTTGCAGGAAACGGATAGGTTCCTTCGTCCCTCTTTGTAGGCAATCACAGCGGCACTCCGGAAATCGCAAGCAGGGCAGTGGCGCGTAGAGATTTGGTCGGCGTTTGGAGGAGCTTGGGGCAGCACAGACGAAAAATATCACGATAAGATAAAGTGTCAGTGCACGGGCCAAAGGTACCAGGAACCAATCAGATTTTAGCTTTGCTTTGGACAATATGTTTTGATAAAACAAACTATTTTTGGCTCGAAAGCATCATGTCTGTTTGATGTGGCCTGTTATTTAAGTTCGATATTCAAGTTTATTTCTGTTTCCTTTGTTATTGTTAGTTATAATTTAATTTGCAGTGAAGATTCTGTGACCCCACTTCGAACAAATTATTACGGATACAATTAAAATTACAACCAAAAAATTAACATTTCCAAAGCCGTAACTTAACTTCATTTAATATATATATATAAAGTCCATATAATAAAATCCTCGAGGGGAGATTTGGATATTAATAAACTGCCCGACCTAATATACACGACTACAAGTCCCACCCCCATCATCATTACCCACTGCTCTATCAAGCCAGGAACGGCTGAGCACCCGTACTCCAAATCAATTACAAAATTACAAAAATAGGTGTTTATATCAGTTGCTGTCCGTTGCTTCCTTAGCAGCATCACGAACCTCCTTTCCGCTTGCTCTGTAGTAAATATCTCCACCCCAGCGCATTGCACGTGCTATGGCGAGAGTTGGACTGTCGATCGCTGGTCTGACGTCGAGATAGAACACTGGCTCGCCTGCCTCATCATCCGGCGCCTCGTAGTAGTCAATCACGTATCTGACTTCGCTGGTTTTGTCGCCAATCTTCCGCTCCACATACCAGTCATGGCGATCGAAGGGAGGCGCGGTCCTAATTTTGTTGTCAGCACAGTGATGAGCCAAATCTTCACCTGGGTCAACATACTTGAACCTGGAAGGATATATGCCACCCAGAAACTGGACCATCGCCGCCTTCGGTGTCATCTCCTTTGGCCGCCCTTGGAACCTCATCAACTTCGGATCTGCCTCGTCCATCACGCCGCTCTCCATAATGCCCTGCTCTCCCTTCATGCAATTCCTCCAGCCATCGCCTAGGCCCTTGGCAAACAGGCCCTCCCAGACGCGGATCTCGTTCCATGCGCCCTCATTCAAAAAGTTATGAACAGATACCATGCTTGTCACATGCTCTGGATCCGTATCATGGTATCCCTTTCGCAGGAGCGCATTGTACATTTGTTGTGGTGAGGGGTACTCCCAGTTCCCACCGGTACCCTTCGGGATGGTCGATGGCTCGCGCTCAATGTCTAGCGCCACGGTCTGCTTCTCGGCCCGCTCCTGCGAGAGGTCGGAGAACATGAAGTTGAGAGGATTGTACTTGGAGAGTTTTTCTGTGGTGGTGGGCTTTCGTGGCTCGGAGGGGACGGCTGCGCTACCGCTCGGAGGAGTGTAGGGGCACGCGGATTCTTGGCTGATGGGTGCTGGCGCGGGTTTGAGAGCATCGACTGACTTTTGATGCATGGGACATTCTGGCTGCGATGATATTAGAAAGGAAGAATCGGAGTATGGAGTTCGCGACACTTACCGGAGGGCTGCGGCTTTTATCGATGTAGGAGGCGTTATGGTGTGTTGGGGGCGTCGCAGGCGCTTGGTCTGCCCAAAACCATCCCATGTTTACGATATGACGAGTAGGTAAAGATTCGTCCAAATTCAAGAAGGACGAACTGCGGGATAATGGGAGTATGCGGATGGGTTATGGGCGTGGAATGAAGGCAAAATAGAGGAGGAGATAAAAGTTTGTCGACTCTGGGGATTTAAATTCTGCCATTTTGAACGCCAATTGCGGCATAGATTGGTTAATCAACGCCCCTAACAAGGCTATGCGACGAAAGTGTCGAATGCTGTATACAATACATACATGTAGACGTTGGAAATAATATTGAATTTATATTTAAATATTGTATTGTTAAACACATAGTATTCATTTTTGCGCCATGTTTAAAAGTTATTTTCGCTGATCAAGGGCCTTGCCACTATGGAACATCGGCCTGGTACCTGCCTGACGTCACGGCTTGAAGTCGGTACTCCACTCCCGATGACAGCACTTCCATCGAGAATTCTACCACGGCGCATTCATGGAGAGCGGTTGTTTCTTTGTTTAGGCCAGCCCATGGCCATCATCTTTTCGCGGTGATGAGGCATATTCTTTCGTTCAGCCGACTGTGTCTCCGGAAAGGCCTGTCACAAATTCGACCCTCAATCGCCTGGCAAGCCCGCACCGCGAACCGCTTTGCGGCAGCAAGAGCCCAATTCCGTCGGCCGCCGAACAATGGGGGCAAACTGCTGCTGGCCTCGGTGGCGGCCTTGACGCCCGCGTTTTTTGTTCAACTCTCCGAGCAGCATAACGATGGCACCGACAATACTGGGGAGGAACGGATGTTGGAGGCTTCGCGGGAGGAGATAGAGAAGAAGCTGTCTGACGACGACGAGGGACTTTTCCGGATATTCAAAGGCATAATTATTTTTCTCGACCTGAATATATGGGAGCCGCTGTGCACTGGGTTCAGATTCCTGCACTTGGTTATCATATTCGTCCCCGTGATCGCTGCCGTGCCTTTGATTTGGATTGGACGGAGACAGGCTGGGCAAGACCACGAGAGGTCTGGAACGCTATTATGGTATCGATTCCTCGTCAACTCGATGGAGCGCGCCGGTCCAGCTTTTATTAAGGTACTATCTCTATCCGTCCTTCCTCCAGGCTATGCTAACAATTGGCAGCTAGGCCAATGGGCCGCATCCCGATCCGACATATTCCCAACCCAGATGTGCGAGATGATGTCCCAACTACACTCCAACGCACCCGCACACTCTTTACACGACACAAAGCGCATCATTCGGCGCGCTTTCGACCACCGCCCGTTTGAAGATATCTTTGAGGAGTTCGAGGAACAGCCCCTCGGTGTCGGCGCAATCGCACAAGTCTACAAAGCAAAGCTAAAGCCCGACCTCGCCGTGCCAGGCGACCCAGATCTCGCTGATCACATCGAGTTCCGCAAGACCGTGCGCCATAATGTGGACACCCTGATCAAGAATACCCCGCAGCGCGTGCCGTCCAACTACGTCGCGATCAAGGTG